AGGGGTGCTACACACAAAAGACTTTTTCCGCTTTTTAAATAATAAGGTCGTGATAAAGGGATCTTGTTGTAATGTTCCCTTAATCTTTGGTTTTGAAATTGCAACTCTCTTTTCATAATCTAAATAAAAATCTCTTTTCGCGCATGCGCGCACCATCTCATACGTATGCATGCTTGTGATTAATTACAAAGGTGGCATTTTTTTACTCAGAAATTGCTAAGGTGATATGATCTCACGCTTATTTAGTTTTCACTCTCCGACTAGAGAGGAGAAGCCTAGCCATTTATGTGGTCGGGAACCATTTTGCAGAAGTCCTTGAACACGAAAGTCTTTGCATAAGAAAAAAGAAATAATGCAAAGATCAACGCCCTTCAGTATTTATTTATTTTTATTTCAAGTCTTATAATTCAGCAAGTGGCCTCTTTTTGAATTTGACAACAACGTTGAAACTTGAAAAAGATCTCTTGAAATTTCCTGGTACGTATAAGCAACTGCTTTAATATCTTGATTGACTCTTTCATATCCACTCCTTTCCTTTCTCGTCCTTTCTTCTCATCTGTCTTTTACATGCAAAAGGCTGCTACCAGGTGTGTGTATATATGTATATATATATATAGATATATATGTATATATATATATAGATATATAGATGTATTTGAGAAAAAGGAAGCAGCCGGTTCCCACCTGGCCCGTGATGTAAAAATTTTTGAAGTAGAAGTCGATAAAAACAAATAAAAGGGAATTTTTCTACCTATTCCTTGAGATTACCATTTTAAAATTAGATTACATTTCATGCACTAAAAATCAAAGTATTTAAAAGTTTGAAAAAAAATTAAGGCATTAAATTACGTACCTTCACTATTAGCTTGATTAGAAACTGTATATAATTGATATTAGTTAATCTTGGTTGTCAAGTTTTACTTGATCTAAGTCAATTTAATTAGCCTCAATCTAAAGAATGAAACCGATTGAAATTTCTCTTTTTTTTTTTTTATCAGTAAATTAATTAAACTTATCCCAAAGGAAGATTTACGTTTATTGCTATTTCAGTTCATCATATCTACCAACCATCAAAGGTTGTATATACATATATATATATATATATATATATCACATGTATTCATGTTGTTTCTTTATTTTTTTTCCTTTTATTTCCACTAATTTAGTTTTTTATTTCTTTTTTACATAAAATTTAAAATAAATAAATTTTTTAATCCTCGAAATTAGGACTAGGTTATATATTATAAGCAAATCTTGTGCACATATTTAGTCTTTCGCTCTGTACTCAACTTTCCAAATCAGTCAAATTTGTATTCCAGCATTTATATCTGCTTTGAAATAAAATTGAAAAATTGTATGTATGGGTTTTCATGGAAATTAAGTTAACATGTCTTAAATCAATGAGTCAAAGAGTACTGAAATGGGGCCTACAAAGAAAGCGACAGGAGAGACTAATTCATTGCATGTAAAGTTATACCAAATATTCTTGAGTGCTCAAAGTCGACTTAAGAATTCATACATCAACATCGGATAGCCCTTGTAAGGGTCTCTCATTGCGGTGCCTTCAAATTTATGATTATAAAATAAATTTTAAACTTTTTTTTTGCAGAAAGGTTAATAATTTTATTGTAGTTATTAACTGATTGAAGTTCTTAGAATTTATTGTTGTACTCTTGTTATTGTATATGTAGACTAGTTATCATGGACATCATTTTGCTAATCTCATGTATTAGCTAAGATTAGATCATGAGATTGGTACTCTGCCACATAACATATTCACTCACATACACACATATAACATTTAATCTCTCATATAATATACATACACATGTCTATAAGACTTATATGTATAGAATTACATTGAAAAATTATGTCCTGCTTTAAAATTTTTTAAAATTGGCATATTGGTCAAATAAGCCTCTAAATTATTCAAGAAAATTTAGATAAGTTCTTATTGTTTTATTGGGTTCAATCAAACTTCTATACTTTTATTTTAAATCAAATAAACTCTTATGACTAATGATTGATTAATTGGTATTAGTCAAAATACTATTTATTATTTTATATTCACATGGTATTGACATGACGTTAAAGTGAAAAGTAAAAATGTTACATGGTCATATTATCATACCAAATTAGCATATCATGTTATCGACAATTGTAATAAATCAACATTTCACATCATCATCAATTATGATATATTAGCATATCATGCCAGTGTCATATGGTATAAAATGACAAATGGTATTTTGACTAAATCAATCATTAGTCCTAAGAGTTTAATTAACTCAAAAAAAATATAAGAGTTTATTTGGTTCAAAATTAAAGAACAAGAGCTTAATTGAATGTAACAAAAGTATAAAGACTAATTTGAATTTTTTTTTAATAGTTTAGGAGTTTTTTTTTATATTATGCCTTTAAAATTCAATGATTTAACAACTTATAAGATTTAATAGCTTATAATATAGAGAAAGAGTGGAAGAAGTAAAAAAATAAGATTAAGAGAGATAGAGACAGTGGAGGAGTATAAAAAATTTACTATATATGCATATAAGAAACCAAGCATTTATTCTCTACTCAAAAAGTTTGCGTCGAATTATCTTTTTTAAATTAAATAAAATAATAACTTCGATGATATACTTTATGTTATTAATATCGTAATTAATTTTTTCAATCAGTTCAATTACGTGCAAAAGCTAAATGATTAATTGACAATTGGTCGAACAGTACTTATCCCTTTAGAGGTAATAATTGATATATTTATTATAACTTTGATCACAACTTGAAAACGGCATCCTTTTAATTCTTCATCCCAACGGATCAATAATAATAATTAAAGATAGATCAAATTTTAAATTACCTCTGACATGCATATGACTATTAACAATATTATGGTTGCTATAGGTATGTACCCTTTAAAGTTTAAAATAAGATTAATCTAATAATATCAAATTTGCTAAAATTATATCAGATACATTGAAACATTTACTCAAATTCAGATAGCAAACAAAGTATTGCTCACAATGAATTGAAACCAATTATTAGATAGAGGTAAACTTTTTTGATCCCGAGGCTGGTATTGCAATTACTTATAAGCAAGGTTGAATTTCCCCAGCTGATGAGTCTCGTTGCTTACAAAGTCAGCTCTACTTTTTAAATAAATGGAGAACTTGCATCGAGGATTTTATTCATGTTGACCCTTATGCACTCTCGTCCTTTCTAGTTGAGTTGCCCCATAATGTTGCACGTTGTAAAAAGGGCATATTTAGGGTATTGGGGGTATGTATGCACGTATATATATACACGTGCAAATGTATATGCATATATACATATATGTTTTTATATATAAGAGTTGATTAAAAGAGTATTTTCATAATATTTATTAAAATTAGTTGAATATTATCTTAACAAAAAATTTATATTGATGCATTGTTTTCATCAGATTCAAAATGAGATCAAGTCTAGCTTTCTTGTAAAGTCTAGCCTTTTATCTTAAAAAATAAAGGAAATGCTAAACAGAAAACAAAAATGGTCTGAATAGTCGGGCCAAAGGCATCAAGTCGTTATTTTTGAAGTAGGTATTATTATTGTTAAATCCCTATTAATATTAATACATGACACAGTCCTTACATACTAAAAGAATATGAGGCTGCCTATCCCTCCCATTATCACTAATCATTGATAATATTGTGCTTGTGATATCTTTTTGGCATGTCTATCCAATTTGCGATCATGTTTTTCAAAATCATGGACGAAGACATATGTACATCACTGCCGAAGAAAAGGTTGAAATGATCACTTGGAGAATGCATAAGCAAATTTGGCTGGCGCTGTTTTTTTCTCACTCTTTGAAACTCTAGCCTTCTTTCAAAGTCTTCTCTCTAATCTCCCCATTTGCCTTTAATTTCTAGGAAATGATATAAGTGCGTAACTATTCTATACCAAACACAACTATAATAATTCATTAATGTCCTCTAGTGTCATATATATGTTTGTAATTTTACACTCTATTACCGATATATTAAAAAACCATAATTTTCATAATCTCATCATCTTATTTTAAATAATAATAGTAGTTCAGGTCTTTTCCAATTAATAAGTGAATGATGTTGAATGCAGAACATTTTGTCCTTTCTCCACTTGATTTTCAGATATTTTGCACAAACTCTGACTCTACCTAATATAATAAAGGATTAATTCTTGAACAAGTTTCAACCATAAAATCAATAGTTTTAACTTTCGTGACATGTATATAGAAATTTCTTCAATTGGAATTCTAAGGCAAATGAGTTAGCAAAAATCTTTCCAAGGAAAAGAGTTGAGAATTTGGAGCTAGACATTGTCTTCACATAACAATTTTATACAACTTGTTCTATAAACATGTGCCTTTTGAAGAATGCTGTCTGCTTTAATCTCAAAAGAATGACATAGCTTCTTAATTAGTCTCTGAACCCCAACCTCAATTACACTTTTTTTTTTTTATACATACATAAAAGAAAACTCTTAGGAGGGTGAACAGTAATTGCCGCTAGATGACTTTAATCAGGGAAACCAAAATAAAATACAAAACAGAAAAAGGAAAGAAATATAAATAAAGAGAATGAGATGGTATGAGAAGGCACCAGCTAGATTGACACCATCATTGAATTGTATTCTACTAGTACGTTAAAGAGGTCAACTGCATGGCCAAATGAAAGCAGAGTTGGGTTATCCCCACCGTTAAACCCTACAAACCCTAAGGCCCCCACACTTGGAAAAACCAAAGTCCGGTCACCGGAGGCAACAATAAAGGAGCTTTGGCTAAACTTTGACCATGAACCAATCCCCATGTGACTTTTGTAATGTAAGAAACTTCAACGAATGGTAGCATAATTTGACATTCGGTGGGGACCCTTCGTTGCGGCTAAAAGCGCTCTCTCTCTCTCTCTCTTGATTCGTTGCCTATGCCATGTTATCTAAAAGCGTTGAAGTTGAATTCTTCCATACTGTGTTTTTTTTTTTTTCTCAATACATATAGAAGGAATAAATTAAAGTTTTTTCTCGTTTCTTTTTGTTTAATACAAGTTGATTGGGTTTTGTTGACATTGCGTTTTTTGAGTGTGTAATGATAGGAAGCCATTGTTTTTGAAAATTTTTTTAAACGGAGTCAAATACAGCAGCCTCTCTATAAGAGAAGAAGAAACTTGGTTGGTTTCAGGGAATTGACAAATTACAAGAGGGAAAAAAGAAAGAAGAGCTATGGAGGAGGATTTGATCAAGAGTTCTGATCATGGAGGTGCAGTGAAGGAAGAGAAGAGAGCTGATTCTTCTGGGGATGAAGAAGCTGCTACAGGCAGCAGAGAAGAAGTTGTTGCTAAGGTGAAAAAACAGTTTCTTCCCTTTGGATTATAGTTTCATGGCTTTCTATGTTCAATTGGCTGATACCCAGTTTCTTACTTGGTATACACAATAATTTTTACCTTTTCTCCCCAAGCTTTTCAACAGAGTTTAGATCATTTAAGTCCTCAGGCTTTAAAAATTATCTGCCTCTTTGACGAACTCTTCGAGATCAAAATTTTTGCCTTTTTTTTTTTGATCTTATTTAGTTTTGTTATACACAAAAATTAAGTTTTCCTTTCTATTTTTTGCATGTTATTTCAGGTAGGAAATAAAAGAGTGTATCGTGAGGATGATGATATGAAGCCATCTTCACCTGCACAAAAGGATTTAAGCAGCAGTAAACAGGTAAACGAATTAAAACCCTGCTATATAGTTATGGTTAATATTCAAAAATAAGAAGACGAGAAGAAGAAGAAGAAAGGCCTTTCATGGATAGTTTTCCTATCCTGTAAATTTTTATGTTACCAAATTGATTGAAAATTACAAAAGTTCTTTCTCTAGTAATCGTATCATTCGATATGATAGATCCTAAGGTACATGTTACGTTATCTATAATTCTAAAAACGAAAATACAAATACCTTGTACATTATCCAAAAGGATTACTAATTTTTCTGATCCTAGTTTACTATCTAAAGGACATCTTGTGCGCCAATCAACATCTATATATGTTTGAATGCCATTGATTGTATTGGAATAGAGCAATGCTTCTGATAGGGATAGAGGCAATTGCCAAGTTGCCAACAAGCAAGAATTGATAGACTTACCTGAAGACATTAACAAAACTCAAATATTAAAAATCTATGGCATTTGAACATTTGACTCATTAGTTAGTATATAATTTCCTATTTAAAAAGTAAGGTTCAGATCTCTTTTCTCTCAATTATAAAAAATAAAATAAAAAAAATAAAAAATCTGTCCAATATATAAAAAGTCATGCATGCCAAATTGACCAAACACTGCTTTTAGCATTCTTTTTCTCTAAACCCTTGAATTGTAAGATTTTGACCATAATTATGCTATGTTCAAGACACACGGTGTCTAGAAGTCTTCCTTTCTTAGCTTTACTTTTCCAATTCATTTTCTTATTTATAGATTCAAGCTTTCCTTGCGATATAAATCTGCATACTATTATTGTAGTATCTTGAATCCCCCCTTTCAGTATAGAAAGATTAGCTAGGATCTGAAGAGTAGGTAGACTCTAGTTTTGTGTATTAATTATCTTATTTTTAGATTTGTTTCTTTTAATAGTTAATCTTCATTCCTTTTCTTCTAACTTATAACTTAATTACATAGGTATCTATAAAAGCTGATACTCAGAGATTCTCAACAGAACCTGACTCCATGGCATCTTCTTCAAGTCGAAAGGAGCAGGTTAGAATTTTTTTAATTTTTGTTTTTTGCTCAACTTCATCTTCTATTCTTGCTTATATGGTATAATCTTTAACAAATTAAGGTATTAAAATTTCGTTTTTGATATTTGTCATCTAATATCCTTCTCAAATTAGATTCTCACATCGAGTCTTTTCTTTTTCCTTCTTTCGCCATAACATATATATCAAGAAATGATTGATCTGGTTTTTGAACACATGCATGCATGACAGTAACTCCATCAAGGACAAGGACAATTTCTTAAAGCTTTTATAAAATAAAAAGCTTAAATAAACGCGTAAGATCTTAGAATTGCGACAGAAAGGAAAAGAAAACACACACACACGTACCTTGGGAAAGTTTTAATGAAAAATTTTGTAGATGCATATTCAATGAAGACCTTTTGATTAAATCCAGGTTGTTTGTTTTTTTGTATGTATGTCTGGGTATAGGATTCTCAGCTTGAATCTGCCAAAGCTGAGATGGGAGAGGTGAGAGAAGAAAATCAAAGACTAAAGATGTATTTAAATCGAATAATGAAGGATTATGAGAGTCTACAAATGCAATTCTATGACATTGTTAGACAAGATGCGAAGAAATCCACAGCTACAACAAATAATGATCATCAAGAAGACGAAGAACCTGAGCTAGTTTCTCTTACCCTTGGAAGATTTTCAAGTGATTCAAAAAAGGATGATAAGAACAAAACATCTAGCCAAGGAAAAGAGGATGAGAGAGGCAAACAAGGTTTATCTCTTGGCTTAGATTACAAATTTGAAGCATCCAAGTCTGATGTAGATGAGCCAAATCCAAGCCCCACAAACAGCTCTCAAGAACCCAAGGAAGAAGAGACCTGGCCACCAAGCAAAGTTCTCAAGACAATGAGAAGCGGAGATGATGAAATTTTGCAACAAAACCCTGTCAAGAAAGCTAGGGTTTGCGTGAGAGCCAGATGTGATACTCCAACGGTTAGTATTACTTATTTGCATTCATTAAGCTAATGAATGTCATGGAGCTTTGAGAACTAGGGTTTTAGCCCTGTCACTTTAAATTTTTTTGTAGTCCATGATTATGAAGCTTATTATAATCTTGTAGTATCAAATTAGTAAGAAGAGTTTTCATTTATACAGATGAACGATGGATGCCAATGGCGGAAATATGGACAGAAGATTGCTAAAGGAAATCCTTGCCCTCGAGCATATTATCGTTGCACAGTTGCACCTTCATGCCCAGTGAGAAAACAGGTAAATATATTCAAATTGGTGAATTTTAAACTTAATTTTATCACAACCAAAGCTGACTTGTATGTTCTTAGCCATTAAAGGCTATATTAAAAAATGTTAAAATTATTTCCTCTCCTACCTTATTAACATGTTAATTTGTTTGGAATTTCAGGTGCAACGATGTGCTGAGGACATGTCCATCTTAATCACAACCTATGAAGGAACACACAATCATCCACTTCCAATGTCAGCCACAGCAATGGCTTCCACCACTTCTGCAGCCGCTTCAATGCTTTTGTCTGGCTCATCATCGAGCTCACAGCCAGCTTCCAGTATTCCATCAACTGCCAACATCCCTGCTAATCTCCACGGACTCAACTTTTATCTATCTGAAAACTCAAAATCCAAGTTCTACTTGCCCAACTCTTCACTGTCAGCTTCCTCATCACACCCAACAATCACGCTTGACCTTACTTCAACGCTATCCTCATCGTCATTTCCTTTCAATAGGTTTTCTTCAGCTTATTCCACAACTGCAAGATATCCTTCTACAAGTCTCAGCTTTGGCTCTTCTGAGTCCAACACTGTGCCTTGGGGCAATGGGCTCCTTAGCTGTGGCAGTACTCAACCCTACATGAAAAACCAAATTGGAGCTCTGAACATTGGAAGACCGAAGACTATGGAAAATATCATTTATCAATCCTTCATGCAAAAGAATAATCTAAATCCTCCTCAACAGCCTCTACCGGATACTATTGCTGCTGCAACCAAAGCAATCACAGCAGACCCCAATTTCCAATCTGCTTTAGCAGCAGCTCTCACATCAATCATTGGCACTGGAAATAACGGAGGTGCAACCCCGCCTACTGGAGATAAATTGGGACAAAAGTTGAACTGGGGGGAGCAGACGTCTCCAATGACTTCTAGTTACTCACAAACAGTGAAAGGGAATGGCTGTGCCACAAGCTTCTTGAACAAATCTCCCTCGACTACTTCACAGCCGGGGACTTTGATGTTTCTACCACCTTCTTTGCCATTTTCAACGCCCAAGAGTGCGTCCGCGTCTCCCGGTGATACCAGAAATCACAGCAATTGATTGGTTTTTGATTTTTGAATATTTGTAATTAAGGATGTTCATTAGTCTTAATTGGCATGTAATAATGTACAGTTATAGAAATTTTCCTCTTGGAGACAAGGACGGGAGGCATGGAAATTTGAACAAGTTTGGTTTTTCCGCGAATTTAGTTGGTCATGATTAACAACCTACTGATTATCCAGTTGGTGAAAGAAAATGGCATCGATTGACTAAGACTAAGCCATGAAACTCACAGAATCTTGGATGTTGTCAACTTTTTATCCTTTTTTTTTTTTTTGGTTTTTTGCCTTGTTTGATTAGATATATTGTTAGACTTTTAAGATACTTAAAAGATTGTTGAGTGCTAAAACAAAGAGAGGAAGATAATCGCCTATTTTCATTTAACAAGGATAATGGTTTTTATAACCTTACAAAAGATAATGTTAAAAAACAAACAAATAAAATTAAAAGAAATTAGATAGTTGTACTGGGATTGCCACACTACTAAGTTTATGGGCTGTCTCTTACATTTGCATTAACTACCAAGACACGGCCAACATAAAAACAAAATAAAGAAACCAAATAACCACCAAGTAAAAAACATGTAATTAGCACATGACACTACTTCTCCAAACTGAAAACTAACTTTTCGCACTAAGGAGTATTGCAAGTAGGTGAAAACTCTATGATACAGAGTTATTTTACTACATTTTGATTATTAAAAATAACCCAAGTCCTTGTGTTTTTAAGTTAATTTTAAGTAGTTTTTATGTTTTTCATTTTTCGTTTAGTGCATGTTGAATTATTTTAATTTGAGTAATTTGAGCTTATTTTCATATCAAAAGTCTTAATTTAAGAAATCACTGATTTAATCTTTATTTTGAAGGTTCTCAAGTGTATAAAGCTTCACAGAAGTGAAATGTGCAAGGATGGGTAGGTGTAAAATTTTCTAAATATGTTGTGGTTTTTGTTGGATGAGGGTTGACATGCATCAAATACAAACAAAATGCAGCAGAAATAAATTTAAAAAATTAAATTATGCTTCACCCTCCTAGGATCCCTTTCATGCCAAATTGAGTACAGAATTAAATTAAAATAAAATATATATGATCATATCAAGTTTACTTAAATAACAAAGGTTTATAAATCCTTTGTTAAACTACCAAATCAGCTTTCAAAAAGCTCAACCACCTTAGCCTAGTTGTTGCAAACTAAAGCAATCCAAGGAATCCTTGTTTAGACTTTAATGGTGATCCACGCTAATGATTTAAAAATCCTTCTTTAAGGATTGGGAGTGCTATGCCTTGATAATGTGCTAGTAAAGATGAGTTTCATAAACTCATAATCCACACAAAATTTTGAGGCAAAACACACAAAAGAAATCAAGAGAACAAAAAACTATTTTTTTTGTAACGACCGCTCCTCGATCGTTACTGGCGTTCGAGTCTCGTAGGAGAACCCGCCAAGTCCCAAACAAGCCTTACTTAAAACGTTAGCTATTACTACATATTCATGCCATCAATCTATGAAATTACTTTGATCCATAAAACTCTTTGTAATAAGAATTGAACAATAATCTTAATAAATCGACTAAACCTTTATTCTATATAATCGTAAAATTAATACATCAAGGCTTATAATCTCCAAATATACATTCATATTGACACTATTGTGTCTAATTTCATAACAAATTACACTATGACAACTCGACCTTTAGCAGCAGAGCGACTTGGAATAAAGTGTTATAAGATGCCTTTACCTATCCGCGGTGGACTGAAAATGCTAATGACTGCACGCTAGGCTGATCACTATCTAAAAAGGGAAATAGAGGGGTGAGTCTCACTGACTTGGTGATCATCAACTCTGTGAGCAGGGCATAGATGAGAAACAAGTATAAGGTAGATATATTTGAATGATAAAACCGGAATAAGTTTAGTAATTTTAAAAAAATCAAATCACTAGTAGAGTGTTTGTGCCTTGTAAAAATGAAGCTGCAAAATCATCATCACAATATTTCACTTGGCAAAATGGTGCTGAAAACAAATGTAACGAAATCGAGTTCAAACATCAAAAACATTGCGTGCCATAAAAATATAAATAACAATATAAAGTATGCACA